CAAAATTTGAGTATTTTTCTATGTTATGTTCATGTTTATGTTCATAAACTTTTTATTTAATAAAATATGTTTTCATAGTTTGTGTTGTCCCTTATTATCAATGCAAAATGGCCACTAACTAAAGAGGATTTATGCTGATATTGCCCAAAAACCCTATTTTGTTCAGGCGTTTCCAAACTTTTGGAGGGCAGTGTATATACTCACAGAAATATGTTTAAGAGGTGGCACAGGCTCACACTGGCTTAGCGGTAAGATTAAATATTAACATCATACAGATAATTAAGTTTCTGTAGAGACTCTAGTTTACTGTCTTCACATGAGTCACATGACTAGGAAGGCATGCTGTACTGTCCCCTGTAGAAACAAGCTCTAGTCTGGCTTTCCCAAATTACCCTACTTGGTCACTCCCACCCCCCACTGCCCACCCCCTGAAAATGTAATTACGGTCCAAGCTCCAGCTGAGAGGTGCCAGTCACTATTCCAACGGCACATTTACATAAACTAAGCCTATAAATATTCCATTAATTGATAATGTAAATGCCCTTTATTCTGACAGACTGCATGCATAAGCTGCTGGATCACTACCACTGCTGCTACGTCTCTATCATGCGCAGCGTTACAATCAGAGAACCACCAACACCATCTGCGTTTCTGCACCAACAAAACCAAAGCTGTACCGTTAGTCTGCAAGGTAAAATGTTAAGCGGGTTTGTACACAGTGCTGACCACATGACCTTCCATGGACACAGCACTATACAGGTCACATAGGCATTACACACAGGATGAGGTTATCTTACTGCAAACGTCATCATAGATACTGTATCTGAATTAAAATCTTTCTTTTTGTATGTATTTTAGAATCAATTAAGTATTTGTAAGAGCAAACAAACACACGTGAAAAATTCTTGGAGGAAATCGCAAACATTAAGAATTACTTTAAAGGCAAATGCTGAAATAAACAGCACTTACTCACTACTGTATTTATTAACTGAAGACACTCCAGAGGAGCAGTAAAATATAACCAGGAGATCAATAATGCACACAGAGTGACTGTTAATTATTCACTAAACAGTGTGACACGCAAGTCCATTAGTGTTTTTCCTCAGATCAGAAAGATTAGCTTGAGACTTATGATTTATGGCTTGTGGGTTTAAAGAATTTATGGAGAAAAATATTTATCTTGTGTTGATGGAGAAAGATGCAAATCTCCTCTGATGAACCCCAATGGATGATGCCTTTTTTAAAAAATGGATGCGCTGAAGACAAACCAAAGAGACTAGGCAATTGTGAAAAAAAATGAGAGTCAGGAGAACAGGAAGCAGGACTAGGACAGGCAGTGTGGAATCAGGAAACAAGCACAGGTCATATGAATGATACTAACCAGAGAATGCAAACGGCTCTGAGACGTCATCACAAACAAGACATCACGAAGACTAAATGAAAGGCGGTGTGATTTATTTATGTGTGACGGAGATGCGTCTTGTTAGAGGTCTGTTGATTGTCATGGTGAACAGGTTTCAGGAACTGGCTGAGGATCATGGGAGTTGGAGGTTGTAGCAGATGTGGATGTAAAGTATTCATGTTGCGTTCCCACAGCAAGCATTGTTTCACAGCAAGAGCCCTTTTCCATGAAACTCATTAAGAACTGTTGTGAATAAGAAAACGAATATTTTATATATTTACAAAATTTTACACTTAACACGTTTAATCTGTTCACTACACACTGCGTGTGATAGCTGAGAAATCGCTCGTTATGCAGAGCTAGAAGAGCTGCAGTCCTCAGGGTTCGTGAACGTGCACGTTTTTAAAGAATTCTACAGAAACACATCACATTCTGAAGAACAACACACTCTTACAGCACTGCCACGTTCAAACCTTTTTTTATTTTAAAGAAACACAGTGTTTTTTTTTTTTACTTCCACACTGTCTCCTATATCTGTAGTATATGTAAGGAATAAAACATTTGGAAGAGTGCTGTCATAGGAAAATAATCACTGATGGGGTGGTGTAATGCGGCCCAACATGAAGCAGAGTTACTGTCACTCCCCCGAAGCTGATTATTTACCTAGAACAGCATGCCCTGGAGTGTTTTCTTCCCCTTATGCCACAGCAATTTGTCAAGGATTACAATGTTTATTCATTAAAGGACAACACTGAATGCATTACGGAGGCATGGTGGTGCAGTGGGTAGCATTGCATCCTCACAGCTCCAGGGACCCAGGTTTGATCCTGAGCTTGTGTTACTGTCTGTGTGGAGTTTCTGTGTATGTTCTCCCTGTGTTTTTGTGGGTTTCCTCTGGGTTCTCTGGTTTCCTGCCACTGTCTCAACTCATGCAGGTAGATGGAAAAGCTACACTAAATTGCTGCTAGGTGTAAATAAGTGTGTGAATGTGTGTGTACTGGCATCCTATCCAGGAGGATTTTCCAATCTTGCACACAGTTGTACCGGGACAGGCTCCGGATCCACTGCTACTCTACTTACAGGGAATGAATGAATGAATAGCAACTATTATCAAATTATAGTTACATTTTATCTTGAGTAACATCGGTGAAACAAGTTAGTTCCCGGTATCACGTTTGCTATGAACAGTTGTTCCCTCGCGGACCTCTCTTTTCTCTCTCTCTCTCGAAGCTAATATACTGATAAAAAAAAAAAACGCAGCTTGTCACATAACACACAAAGTCTTTTGTCCTGACTTTCCCTGCAGCACAAAGTTAAAGGAACTGCTTTACCTTCATGCGCTGACACTGACTGAAGTCTTCTTTTATGAATGTTAAACGTTTCCTTGCAGAAGGCCTCACCAGACCAATGTATATATACATTATTTTTTGTTGTTAAATAAAAACAGGGTTTTTTTTTAATCTACTTATCCTTACTTACCTCAGCATCTGCTGTACAAGTCCCTGTGATTGAGCTGTTACCATAGAAACGATAACGCATTAGACCTGTGATTTGACTTGCAGCTGAGACTCCATCAGAGCCATGCTGTTATAGATAATTAATCAACACCTCCTGACCAACCAGATTCAAGAATTCGACAGTGCTATGGTATAAGTGCAAATATTACAAACACACAAAACCTAAGTAATTACTTTTTTAATATGCTACATGGATAAAAAACTGGATAAATAAGAATGACTTATATGTTTATTGACAGAATACAGTAACTGCTGAGATAAATAGATTTTTTTTTTCTCTCATATTGTGTCAAAATTACTGTCCATGGTAATCAGTCATGTTACAGATTAAACTGTAAAACACTAGAGTGTGCCTTCAACTATGACATTCACACACACACACACACACACACACACACACACACAAAATGATAATAAGGAAAGACTAGAAAAATTATTTACAATTAGAATTTAAAGGAAGTATCCTTGTTAAGCTATATTTAAACATGGCATAAAAAAGATGAAAAAGAAACCTAATTTACTAATTTATCACTGATATAATTATGAGATGAAAAAGGAAAAAAAAAGTATATAAAAAAAACAATTCTCATACAGGAGAGGAAAAAGGTTAGAAAAACATTACATATTCACATATATTTAATACTGTTTTTAATAAAGGTTTTGGTCTCTTTACATTAGAAGCTAATGATTTTTACTTTCTATTTATGAAATTACGGTGAAGATGCTTTCACAGCTTATCGCTCTATCACTTCAGAGTTATTTATCACACACATACACAAAAGCACAAATGTCAGAAGTCAAAACCAGAGGTAACAATAAACAGCTACTGACCAGTATGATTGAAAGCTGTTTTCGCAAGGTCACTCATGCAAAATTGCACCTGACATCATGCACACACACACACACACACACACACACACATAAATGTATATATATATATATACATATATTCCATGGCAGAGTTTCTCCTCTCCCTCCTTCCAGAGTTTCTCCTCTCTCTCTCTCTCTCTCTCTCTCTGAGGCTCTGCTTTATTAATGAGCTCCACACATAAAACACATCCAGATGACTGAGACTGTCACTCATCAAAAAGTCTGTTCACAGCCGACTCCTAGCGTGGAAAGGAATTATTCTTTCTTTCTTTTTTTCCATATGGACAAGAGGTGATCACTGATTGCCAAGGCTTTCAGGTGACCAGACCTTTAAGCCTCATTTCCAGACACCATATGAATATTGCATACAAAGTGAAGTGAAGCTTTGCCTCCCTGAATCACAGGGTAGAGGATGGAGACATATGTGCTGAAAAGAGAGC